AATCAAACAGTTTCACTCCTTGTGCTACAAAGAGTGACAGGAATGCAAAACAGGGGACAGCATGGTAGGGAAGCTGGGCTATAAAAAATCTAGATAATGACAGCCCATATGAACAACAACTGAAAAATGCCTTCCTAAAAGGCTGTCTGCCCAAATCAGCAGTTTTATCACTAAACACATGATCGCACTGCTCGCCTCACAAATATGCTTCGAATCAAAACTATTAACAAAATCATGGTTATGAGGAAGCAAAGAGTTAAAAGAGGTAGAAAATAGGAAAAGCAGGAAGGAAAATGTATTCCTTAGGGACAAATAGGAAGAGAGATTTTACATTAAAAATTCTTTTGACAGAGGAGCAAAAATTAAGATAATAATAAACTTTATTTATATAGCACTTTACAAGTCTGAAGAGCACAAAGTGCTGCACAGTGGGACATGCAACTAAAAAATACTAAAACAATCAATCCAAAAACACAGGTTTATAAAATCCTAGCAATAAAAAGTTTCATCAAAATAAAATAGTATAAAACAACAAGTTAAACCATGTCCCTTTGGGGCAGATAAAATGGATTAAACACCAAAAGCCTGTTTAAAAAGGTGAGTTTTTAAAATAGACTTAAAAACCACTAGCTCGGTTATAGACCGAATCTCAGGTGGTAATGAATTCCAGAGTCTAGGACCAAAGACAGCAAACGAGCAGTCGCCCCATTTTTTGGATCGGGCCCACGGAACAACTAAGGACAAGTGCTCAGCAGAGCGCAGGGTTCGGCGCGGAGGATAGATAGATAGCAGCTCCGACAGGTATGGTGGGGCGAGGCCATGTATGACTTTAAAGACAAATAGCAGCATCTTAATATCAATTCTCCATTGTACTGGCAACCAATGTAGTGAAAAAAAGAACTGGGGTAATGTGAGCATACCTGGGAGTGTTCGACAACAGCCGAGCAGCCGTGTTTTGAACCAGTTGAAGTTTCCTCAGCACAGACTGAGAAACACATGCCTTGTGCTCTGTTCGGGTTTGTGGGACCCGGAGTCACTTGTCACCTTACAAACAACAATATATATATATATTGACCCGAACAGAGCACAAGGGTTAAGACCTACACTCTTTTTGTCAATATGAATTATTGAGCCTGTAACCTGTGTGAATGTACAGTTTGTTTCTTAATGTCAATCTTATGCAACTTGTGCCAAGTCTGCTGCTTTGCATAGTCTGATATACACACAAAGGAGCTGCTTCTTTCATGCACACTCTTATCACAACCACACCTCACCATAGAGGTGAATGGCTCTAGCAAAAAAAAAAAGCACCCGGCT